TCTCATGGCACACAGGGCACACACACACAGCTCTGTCATGGCACACAGGGCACACACAGCTCTCTCATGGCACACAGGGCACACACACACAGCTGTGTCAAGGCACACAGGGCACACACACAGCTCTCTCATGTCACACAGGGCACACACACACAGCTCTCTCATGGCACACAGGGCACACACAGCTCTGTCATGGCACACAGGGCACACACACAGCTCTGTCATGGCACACAGGGCACACACACACAGCTGTGTCAAGGCACACAGGGCACACACACAGCTCTCTCATGTCACACAGGGCACACACAGCTCTGCCATGGCCAACACACAGCTCTGTCATGGCACACAGGGCACACACAGGTCTGTCATGGCACACAGGGCACACACAGCTCTGCCATGGCACACACAGCTCTGCCATGGCACACATGGCACACACACACAGCTGTGTCATGGCACACAGGGCACACACACAGCTCTGCCATGGCTGTCATGGCAGACACAGCTCTCTCATGGCACACAGGGCACACACACAGCTCTGTCATGGCACACACTGCTCTGCCATGGCACACAGGGCACACGCACAGCTCTCTCCTGTCCCTGTGCCAGCCCAGAGTGTGACAATGACCCTGGTGTCCCCCCTCCTTTCCTTTGCAGACGCCGTTTTCGCCTTCCAGCTGCGCAACCCGGTGCACAACGGGCACGCGCTGCTGATGCAGGACACGCGGCGGCAGCTCCTCGAGAGGGGCTACAAGAACCCCGTGCTGCTGCTGCACCCCCTGGGGGGCTGGACCAAGGATGACGATGTCCCCCTGGAGTGGCGCATGAAGCAGCACGCCGCCGTGCTGGAGGAGCAGGTGCTGGACCCCAAGTCCACCATCGTGGCCATCTTCCCCTCTCCCATGCTCTACGCCGGCCCCACCGAGGTAAGGCAGCTCTTGGCTGCTCAGCAGGGCTGGGCAGGCAGCCTGTCCATGCCCCAGGAAGGGGCTGGAGCTGTGTCCTCACTCCTGGTTCCCTGCATGGTTTGTCTGTGTTTGCTGCTGCAGCATCCCCCACAGAGCTCTGCTCCATCCTCTTCTTGGCTGTGGAGAGAGGACACAAACAGGCTTCACCTTGTTCTGGCAGGCAGGGAGGTTCATTTGAAACCCCTTGTGTCCCTAAATCGGTGGGATGAAGGGGGCAGATGCTGAACATCCCCCTCTGTGTGCTGGGCATCACCACCTTGGCACGCTGAAAATTCAAACAGACCCAGCCTATAGGAATGTGGCCCCAGTTGATGGAGTGACAAAACCGTCCTTTGTGCCCCCAAAAAGGAAATAAACCCAGAAGGTTCTGTCCTCAATTTGGTGAAAAGACACCTCATAGGATCTGGGGGGCTTCACCTCAAACTTAAGAACAGCCAATTGGACAGGAGCCAAAAAGTCCCACCTGAGCAATTCACTAGAAAAAGAAGAGAACAAAGAAAAAAATCACTTTTGTGAGGTGTTTTACCAGGAGAAGAACCTCGGGCACCTGGCTCGGTGTTTCTCTGTAAAGAGTTTTGTTATTTTGCCTTTTATTAAAACTTTTTTGTTTCCAACACTGCCACAGAAGCCATCCTGCTGATTTCATGCCTTCTGAGGTAGCTGAGCTGTCTTGGGTGTGAAATGGATCTCCAAGAGCTTTTGAGAGCTGGCTCAAGGAGCCCCTATTTCAGCAGCCCAATTCCCTCTCCCTGCCTGTGTGTGAAAAATGCCAGGCACTTGTTTTTAAAATTTTAAAAGTTTTAGTGTAATAAAATGGTTATAAAAATAGTAGTACAGTTAGAGTAATAAAAATTTGGACAATTGAGTTTAGGACAATATGAGACAATAAGAACAAAGAGTTATGGACGGTTTGGGTGCCTCTTTCTGGGCAAAATAAGCCCAAAAAAGGACCCACATTAACAGAGGATTAACCCTTAAAAGCAACAGCCTGTTGCATATTCATACACCTCATACACGATGCATAAATTCCATTCAAACACAGGATTCTGTCTGGGCAGTGTCAGCTTCTGCCTCTGAATCCTGACTGAGTCTTCAGGGCTGAGCAAGGAGGGAAGAAGTTTGTTTCTTCTGATATGGAGGAATAAATTCTCTTTCTCTGCAAGATTCAGGTGTCCTGTGGCTGCTATCTGGTGCAAGCACCTCATTCCTTTCTTTAAAAAATAATCCCACATACATAGCTTCTATTTTGACATTATATTATAACCTAAAACTATATTTTACACACAACTTGTGTNTCTGAGCTTCCAGTCCAGCTCCTCGCTGGGAACCAGCCCATCCCAAGCAGGCAGGACTGAATTTTTTGGTCACTAGAAACCCAAGAAGGCAGGACTGATTTTTTTGGCCACCAGCTCATCCCAAGCAGGCAGGACTGAATTTTTTTGGCTACCCAAATCCCAAGAAGGGAGGATTGAATTTTTAGCCACCAGCCCATCCTAAGCAGGCAGGACTGAATTTTTTTGCTTTTCCCTACAGGCAGCCAGCAGGGTTGGTGTGTTTTTGCAGCTTCTCTCTTCCCCCTCAGTCTGTGGCAGTACAAGGAGCATTGTCCCTAGGAAAGAGAGAGCTCTGGGTTCCACACAGTGACTTCAGCTTTCTCCCTAGAAAGGCTACAGCTGTGGTAGTTCTTTCCCCTCCCTTAAAATGCCTGGTTTAATTCATCAGCAGCAGGTGTGTGCCTTGCAACAGGCTCATTCCTCCTGTGTGTTCCCAGCAGGAAAGCAAAGGGGGAGCTGGAGGAAGGTCTTGTGCCTTCCTATAGACTGCTGGCTGCCAGAGGGGAGGCCAGCACCCAGCTGTGGGATGGGATTGGGTGGCTGCTGCCCCACTTGGTGAGGTTTTGCTGCCCAGGACATTTGTTCACATGGTCACTGCAATGATGTTTTCCACCCGAGAGAAGGGAAGGTCATCCTACAACCGGGTTGAGCCTCACACTTTTCAAAGGAGACTGGGAGGAGGAGGACTGTGCTGTCCCCTTTGCACTGAAGGTGTGTGTAATTCCCAGATGGTGATGGAGAGTGGAGACTGGCTGGTTGGTGGAGACCTGGAGGTCCTGGAGAGGATCAAATGGAACGATGGGCTGGACCAGTACCGCCTGACCCCGCTGGCTCTCAAGCAGAAGTTCAGGGAAATGAATGCTGGTGAGTGCCCTGGGTTACACCAGTGACAGGGCTCTTCCTGCCCCACAAGGCCTTGGTGGGATCCATGATGTGCTCTCTCAGCACTTCCAGGTGGCTTCTAGATGCTCCCGAAATGGGTCTGTTAGGGAGGGTGGGCAGTAAAGGGGACTCAGGGCATGGCACAGGTGGCACAGGGCTCCTTGGTCAGGGCAGTGCTTGTGATGGGCTGTGTCCCCAGAGGGCTGCTCTGAGGGATGGGATCCTGCTCACATCCCCCCTGGCACGAGAGATCCTCTCTGCACTGACATTCTTGGCCTTCACACCTGGGGCACAGCTCAGGTGTCTCCTCCCAGCTCTCTGTCCCATGGAATCCCAGAGTGGTTTGGGTTGGAGGGACCTTAAAGCTCATCCCATTGCACCTCCTGCCATGGGCAGGGACACCTTCCATGCTCCCAGGTTGCTCCTGCTGGTGGTGCCAGCAGGATGGCAAGGGTCAGACACTCACCCTCACTTTGGGGGAAGACCACTGGCCCTCCTGCAGGTGCCACTGAGCTTGGGGAGGTGACAGGACACTAAAGACATCAGTGCAGGTGTCCAGTGGTGTGCACAAACGTTATAGGAGAGCTGATAGGGCTGAAATCGGCCCCAAAGGAAGGGAATGCAGGGAAAATAACCCTGGTAGGGTGATGTGTGTGTGTGTGAAACATTCAGGGTCCTGTTTGTGTGCAGACAAAGCAAACACAGCTCTGTCATGGCTGTCATGGCACACACAGCTCTCTCATGGCACACAGGACACACACACAGCTCTGCCATGGCACACAGGGCACACACAGCTCTGCCATGGCACACAGGGCACACACACACAGCTCTGCCATGGCACACAGGGCACACACACAGCTCTGTCATGGCACACACACACAGCTCTGTCATGGCACACAGGGCACACACACACAGCTCTGTCATGGCACACACAGCTCTGCCATGGCACACACAGCTCTGCCATGGCACACAGGGCACACACACACAGCTCTGTCATGGCACACAGGGCACACACAGCTCTGTCATGGCACACAGGGCACACACACACAGCTCTGCCATGGCACACAGGGCACACACACAGCTCTGTCATGGCACACAGGGCACACACAGCTCTGTCATGGCACACAGGGCACACACAGGTCTATCATGGCACACAGTGCACACACACACAGCTGTGTCATGGCACACAGGACACACACAGCTCTGTCATGGCACACAGGGCACACACACAGCTCTGCCATGGCTGTCATGGCAGACACAGCTCTCTCATGGCACACAGGGCACACACAGCTGTGTCATGGCACACACAGCTCTCTCATGGCACACAGTGCACACACACACAGCTCTGTCATGGCACACAGGGCACACACACAGCTCTCTCATGGCACACAGTGCANCACTGTCCCAGGCTGCTCCAAATGTCCAGCCTGGCCTTGGGCACTGCCAGGGATCCAGGGGCAGCCACAGCTGTGCCAGGGCCTGCCCTCCCTGCCAGGGAACAATTCCTAATTCCCAATATCCCATCCAGCCCTGCCCTCTGGCACTGGGAGCCATTCCCTGTGTCTTGTCCCTCCATCCCTTGTACAGAGTCTCCATGTTTCCTGTAGCTCCTTCAGGCCCCAATTGGTCACCCCAGAGCTTCTCCTGTCCAGGTGAGCCCCCCCCAGCTGTGCCAGCCTTTCCTCCCAGCAGAGCTGCTCCATCCCTCTGCCCATGCTGGTGCCTCCCCTGGGCTCTCTCCTGGATCCCAGGCTCACCCAGCCCCAGCACTGAAGTGATTTATGGGATTAACATCCCAGACTTTTCCCATTTCCATATCCCAGCAGTTCTGCTGTGCCTAAATTCCTGCACCCCTGTGTTAGACCATTGTGCATCTCCCATTGCTTTGGACACAGGGAAGAAGTCTAAGCAATTATTCAATTATTTTTATCCACCCCCTCAAATTTGGTTTTAGGATTAAATTGGGACAAACTCAGCCCTGCACTCCAGGGGGCAGGACAGCAGGGAGCAGGCTGAGCTTGAGGGACATTGTCACCAGCCCCTGACACCGTGTCACGGCAAGGCTCCAGCCCTCCTTATTTCACTTTATTTTCCTTTGCAGTGCATTTGGTTTTACATCATTCTGTGCCTCCAATGTTTCCCTCCCCTCACAGGCAGCAGAGCTGTGACACAGCCTCCCACCCCTGGGCTTTGAACATTTAATTCCCTTTACAGATTTGGGCTCAATTAGTGCACAGTTCATAGCATTATATGAAAAAGCCACAAGTTCTTGACTACCTCTGACAATAACTCCACTAAAAAAAACCCCAAACATTTTTGCCACTCACATTTGTAACCCTTGGCCTTTATCGCAACAGAACGTTACAAGAATTCACCAGAACTGGTACCAGCAAGGACAGCACGTTGCTAAACCACATCAATAAGCCCAAAATCCATCTCCTCCTCTTGAAATTCACAGATCTGAGCATGGGACAGAGTCAAACATCCCACAGTGTCCCTGCTGTGCCTCAGGGCTGTGACACCTCAGGGGATGGTGCCACCGTGGGGCCTGCAGAGACCGAGGGAGAAGCAAGTCCTGGGGACAGTGCACAGGAGCCCAGAGAGCTCAGAGAATGTGGGGATTTAGGAAAGAGCAAGTGGGGTTCTACTCTAGCTGCTGACAGCAAGGGAAAACCAAAAATAAAATCAGCCTTCATTTAAAAAGCCTGCAAAAGCAGAATTCATAAAAAAATTAAAAGTATTCAAACATTTTTACAGAGTAGTTTACTATCTTGACTAAATGGCACCAGATTTCAAGTGGTCATGTGGAAGAAAAATCAGTAGCATTTCAAATGTTGCTTTGTTCTAGGAGCAGTTTCTATCCTGGCATTTGCTGCTAGAAGGTACAAGTGAACTGAGTATCGAGGAATCTTTCCCCTATACAGCTTCTGATTTGGTTTGCTTCAGGAAGGAAGTAGAAAAGATTTTCCATACTCAAGTTATCTACAGATTATGTCTATATATATAAAAAAAAGTGTGGCTATGTACAGGTCCTGCACTCCCACACCCATCTGTACACACCCAGCCCGTGCCCCTGGCCCTGGGAGCAGCCACTCCTGCTGGGAGGCTCCAGGGATCCCTGGGCTGGCCTCAATTGTTCCACTCATGATCTGGGCTTCCACTCCCACCGGGAATTGCAATAACTTAAGAGGTTGTTGTTGTATAAAAACGATTCCAGGAACAGAACTCCCTTTGCCACCCCTGCTCCCACCCCCTGACACTGGTTTTGCTAACTGATTACAGAAGTCAAACTAAATCACATCAGGAACTGCAAACACACTCTTTTGTCTTAATCAAACACAATCTCCATGGCCAGGTTCTGCATGGAGACATCCTTGGATTTCCTCATCTTCTCGATGGCCCTGTGGAGATCCTGCTGCTGCACGGGCCGGATCTCATCCTCATCGTGCCTGGGGGAGAGACAGACAACAGCCAGGTGAGGGCCAGGGGCAGCCTCACAGCCATCCCTGCCACCAGCAGCTCTGCATGGATCCACTGGAACCACAGATTGCCTGAGGCTGGAAAATCCCTGCCAGCCCATGGAGTCCCAGCTGTGCCCAGTGCCCACCTTGTGCCCAGCCCAGAGCACTGAGTGCCACCTCCAGCCCTTCCTGGGACACCTGCAGGGCTGGGCACTGCAAAGCTCCCTGGGCAGCCCCTGCCAAGGCCTGGAATGGAATTCCAGAATGGAATGATAGAACTGGGATTGTGGGTGTGGAGTTTGAATGTGGAAGACTTAAGAGTTTAAGGTTTTAGAATATAGTAATATATATAAACAAGATGGAGGTTTTAAGGTGAAGGCTGATCCTTCTTCTTCACCTTCTTCTCCATGGGTTTGGGTGGTTTTGTGTAATTGGATAAAAAAGTCCACATTGCAGGCCATGGGTGGTTGGTTATTGATTATTCAAAGTAAAAATAATTCAGGTGCCATTTCTTAAGTTTATCCTTAAATGGCCTNCCTCATTCCTTTCTTTAAAAAATAATCCCACATACATAGCTTCTATTTTGACATTATATTATAACCTAAAACTATATTTTACACACAACTTGTGTGAATTAATACAGCATAATTTTCTAACACAACACATATGTGAAAAATGCCTATTTTATGATTGGCTTTTTGCAAATATTAAAATGAATTTTATATGTATTGTGTTAGAAAGTAATGCTGTATTAATTCTCTTAAGTACTGTGTGAAACATAGTTTTAGGTTATAACAAAAGGATAAAATAGTAACTATGCTACGTAGGATACTTTTTTTCTAAAGAAAGGACTCACACTGAGATAGCAGCCACAGGACACCGGAATCTTTCAGAGAAAGAGAATTTATTGCTCCATTATCAAGAGAAATGAACTTCTTCCCACCTCACTCAGGATTGGAGATTAGGATTATAAGGAAGAAGTTGACCATGACCAGACAGAATCCTGTGTTAGAATGGAATTTATGCATCATATATAAAGTGTATGAATATGCAACAGGCTGTTGCTTTTAAGGGTTAATCCTCTGTTGACGTGGGTTCTTTTTGGGGCTTATTTTGTCCAGAAAAAGGTACCTGGACTGCCTGTAACTCTTTGTTTCTATTATTTCATATTGTCCTATTCCAGTTAGTCCAAATTATTATTACTCTAATTATATTGCTTTTTTTTATAACCATTTTATTACTATTAAACTTTTAGAATTTTAAAAACAAGTGATTGGCGTTTTTCACAGCAGCCACAGGACACCTAAATCTGTCAGAGAAAGAGAATTTATTGCTCCCTTATCAGGAGAAACAAATTTCTTCCCACCTTGCTCAGGATTGGAGATTAGGATTAGGATTAGCTGGAAGAACTTGATGATGACCAGAATCCTGTGTTAGAATGGAATTTATGCATCATGGATGAGGTGTATGAATATGCAACAGGCTGTTGCTTTAAGGGTTAATCCTCTGTTGATGTGGGTTTATGCTGCCCAGAAAAAGGTACCTGGACTGTCCATAACTCTTTGTTCTTATTCAGTCATGTTGTCCTAAACTCAATTGTCCAAATTATTATTTCTCTAATTGCATTACTATTACAGCGACCTGAGGAGGTCTCCATGGTGAGAGAAGGACGAGAATCTTGTTTCTTGATCAGAAGGCTTAATTTATTGATATATAATATAT